GGGTGAATCAGTCTGACGCCAGGCTGACTCATGCACTTTTTAATATTAGGGTTAGTTGAGGGATCTCCATAGCCTCAGAGGGATATCTGGAGGTCCCCCAGAAAATTCTGAAAAGACGTCTCAGAAGCAAGTTTGAGCTGCTCTCTTCGAAAAAATGAGCGAATTAAAATTTCAGAGGTGAATAAATGCCACAAACTTATTCAGAAAACTCCCTCATACCTCTTGGGAGGGGCTAGTAGTTTATTTGGGGGGGGGGCTCAGGCCCCCCGACTTCTTATCTAGTTCCGCCCATGATTCTGCTGAAACAACTAACTAATTCACTTTAAAAGTGCGTGCGACGGAGACTCTAAATACAGTCCTTAAATATTACGATGTAAAATTGTTTTGAAGAAAAATGTCTACACATCAAGGTAAATTTAAGTGTTTGTTCACGTGATTAATAATTTGTGCGTGACGTGAGAGGCTATTTCAGCCTCCTGAGTGATTCAATTTGAATATAAGCACATTATCATCATGCCAAAGATGAAGTGGAACCAAAACTTCGCCACTTTATTGCCCTCATTCAGTGATCAGAGTCAGGTAAGCTTTGTTTTTCCATAATTCATCCGTTTCCAAGTTGCCGTTAAAGCGAGTTCTCACTAACTTGCCTCAGTAAAATTCCGATGAAACTAATGTTTTCAGGTTTTTACCGTAGCCCAACTGTCAAGACCAGTTTCGATTCATTACACGGAAAAAATTAAATTGCTGATTTTACAATTCAATTGCTAAAAAAAAAAAACTGCGATGTTTCAATGTAGATTTTACAACAAAAAAATTCTACCTTAACCACCCCCGTGGTTAAATTAGCTTAAAATAGTGGTTAAAGTAGCATTTTTATGTTGTGAAATCTACGTTGAAATATTGCTGTCACTTTTTTACCAACTGAATTGTTAAATCAGCAATTTAATTTTTTCCGTGTGCTGTACAAAAACCGGTGGGATTTAAGTTTTTGGAGTTAACTATAACATGCTGTAGACATTAGTTTTGACTAAAATTTTCCGTAAAAACTCGAAAAAAAAAACCCATTATTTTTATTGATAGGTTTTATCGGATGCATGCGACGAAACCTCTAGATCGTACCATTTATTCGTGTTTTAACGCTTTTTGGGTTTGGACAATTAACATGAACAAACCATCTCACCGATTGTGAACTATCGAAATTCTGATCAATTCGAGGCCTTTAGAAATTCGTATCAAATTGGCAATTTTATTTAAAAAAATAAATAAATAAATAAAAAATGATTGCCAAGATAGAGGAAAGTTCTCTGTATAATTGATCGAACAGATAACGCAATATCAATGAAATAAAATAGGGATTATAATAGGGAAAAAATAAATATTTCATGGTGCGTCAAATTAAAATTTCGCGGTTAAATTTGAAAAAGGCCGCGCGGACTTATTTTGTGTTTATGTCATGTGACCGACGGTGCTGCACTCTTATGAACAGTTGCCGTACCCAAAACCAAAACACGCCCAGGACAACAAACGCAGTGATAAGATAACAGCGCACATTTGTTTATTTTCTTGTTACCTCGCTTTCTACCTCATTTATTACTATTTTTTTTCTCAAATTTAGTTTTCGTTATTCTTTATTTCCTTTCATATATTTCTATTTCAGTTTTTTTGTTACCTCATTTACTTGATCTACTGTGATGATAATCTTACTGATGACTACTCGGAAATGGCCATCTAGAAAGAACAGATCCTCACCAAAGGTAATCAAAAATACATCAATAATTGACACCGTTTAATATATTTGGTCATTAAAATGCGTCCACTCTGTTACGGACAAGTTGGATCACATTCTAGCATTCAAATAAATAGATAATATTTGCCAGCAAACAGGAAAGTGTTAGGGTATGACAGTTGTTAGCTTGCTCTCACACAGCTATTCAACAAATGTACATGTTTCCATCTTTTTTATATTTATCAATCAAATTTTATTCGTAATTCATAGTGAAATTCCTTGTCAGTTCATGGTCCAATGTTTGCGAACTAATTTGTGACGAAAAACAGGCGATCATTGTAGACACCGCAACGTATACTCGGTATGTCTCCGAGCAGTTTTCATCCGTATCATTTATCTGCGATTTCATCAATAAACAAATACCTCTTAATTTTTCAAGGCAACATATTCCAATTGAGGGGCTTGAAAAACAAGGCCTTTAAGTGCAGTTTTTGCTATTTCAAGATATATGTGTTCAAAGTTTCAAAATTACATGGAGCCTTACGGTGAAAAGGAAGTTTAAACTCACTTGTTGATGCATTAAAGTTGGATTTTAGTTGTGCATTTCTCACACAAGAGACTTTCAAACTCGTTTTAGTTGGATTTATGAATATCTCAATTTTTTCAAAAACTGCACTTATGCGCCTTGAACTCTAAGCCCCTCAAGTATTTACACTTGGACATTTACACTTTTCCGAAGCATTCATTTCCAAAGTCGTTTGGTTACGCATCATGTCAACCGCAGGTAGCGGAGTAATTTCTTTTGAAGTAACTTAGTTGTGGTTGAGAGTGCATAAGCAGATGCAGTCCAACATGGAACATTTAAGAAGGAAATTTCCATAGCCTTTACCGATAAAATGAATCAACAATATATTTATTTTTGTCTTTGAAAGTTTCCATGATTTGCCCTTAGTTTTCCTAAAAAAGAAGTCACGTTTTTTTTTTTTTTTTTTCAATCTGATTAGGTACATACTGAAATCGCCTTAATTTCATGCAACATCTACGTATGAATGCAATGAATGACACTTTTTGGTATCACAAGCGGAAAAAATTTAAGGTGCTACGGTGTTTTAATGGCTAGGTCTGAATACAACTATTCGTGTCCTCAGGACGTCCGTGTTGCAGACGAAAAAATTGCAGGCGCCCTGGCTTTCTGAGCAGTGGGGAGGCGAGAATGATCGATTATCGATATTTCCGCATTTGAAGCTGCAGTAAAGAATCGATTATTGAGGTGTTCGCTTCGAACACCCTGTTTATCGATCATTTTCCTTATGTTTAAATGGCAGATCAAGCGATACATCAAAAAGCACGCCTCGCCACTGTTTCTGAGGCAGAACGTATGGCCGCGACCACTGGCTCCAAGACTTGTCTATAATGAATTTAAAACCGCGTTTGCTATTAAATTCTGAAAATTCAGTTGAGTCGTATATAGCATCATTATAGCGCTCGAAAATGCGGAAATTTCATCGGTGTAGTAATTTGTGGGATTGACTTTCGCGATGATTTTGTTGAGTTATTTTTGGTAGAAAATTTACACCATTTGTCAACACTGCCTTGATGAAACTCGGCTCTTTTGAAATTCGAGGATCTAGGAAACCCGATTGTGAACGCAACGTAGACAACTTTTGAGAACCAACACCCGCAGCCGTATGATATGTGCTTGTGAAAATCAAAACACCTTCAATTTTTTAGTCTGCAACACGCACATCCCGATTATAATTGTATCCAAAGCCGTTGAAAAAGCCGGAGCGCTTTAAATTGTTTTCGTTTGTAATAACAGAATGTGCCACTCAGTGCATTCATACATCGTCGCTGCATAATGACTGGGCGGTTTGAATCGAGTATTCAATCGCTTCTGATAGTATTGATTCGGTATTGAGTCGAGTATTCAATTTCCTTCGACGTCTTATCGTTTTTTGGCTGATTTCTGATATAAATTCTAATCACACAAAATTTTGAGCGCGAAGAGCAAATTGCGGAATTTTCATCGGTCGCGATTTGCTGATATTGACATCCGCATTTCCCTCGTGAAAGTGTTTTCAGCAGATGATTTACAGGATGTTGCACCATTTGGTAACACTGGCATGGTTTTACACTATCCATCCGAATTTTGAGGA